TTATGTCCTTAAAAAAACTCTATTTTTTCTAAGATAATAATAATTCTTTTTTAAAAGGCTTTCTCTGTTCATTTTTTTTTGTTTGATTGTTTTTTGTTTTTTTTCACTCTTTTAAAAATTTTTTTTTTACATGTCAATCCCAGTCCCCCCTCCTTCCCTCCTTCCTTCCTTCCCTCCCTCCCTCTTACCCTCTATCCCCTCTCACCCTGGTCACCCTCCCCTCCCATACCCCACCCCAATTCCACATGTAGGGCTATGCTATCCAGGTGGGGTCATGTAGATCTGTCAAAGTCATTTGAAGTAGGGACCAGGACTTCTCTCCTTTCTCTAGGTTAAGGTAGTATCTCTCCATGGGGGATATGTCTGCAAGGGCCTTTTGTGCACCAGGAATACATACTGGTACCACTGTCTGAGGTCCCTTAGACTGCTCAGTCCTTCTGGCTGAGACCAATATTCAGGGGGTCTGAGTCAGTTCCCTGCTGGATTCCCAGCTATCAGTCTGGGGGGCCCGTTAGCTCCTCCTTGTTCAGGTCAGCTGGCTCTATGTGCTTCTGCAACCTGGTCTTGTCCTCTCTATCAGCATCTGGATTCTAGTTCAACTCAGTTTTTAGTTATGGGTGTTTGCTTCTGTTTCCAACAGGTATTAGATGAGGGTTCCATGATGGTGGATAAATTAGTTGTTGATCTCACTATCAGGGAAGGGCATTCATAATAGCCTTTCCATGGTTGCTCAAATTGTTGGAGTCAGTCTTATAGGTCTCTAGACCTTTCTTTAGGTTCAGTTTTCTCTTCAAACCAACAATGGCTCCCTCTTTTATGTTCTCTCTCTCTTTCTCTTACTCTCTCCCTCTCTCTCTTTTCTGTCTTCTATTCCTACCCTGACTCAATCTTCCTGTTCGCATGTGCTTTCCTCTTCTCCCGTTCTCTTTCTCCTACTTCTCTCTCCATATACTGCCCCCACCACTTCCCATGTGCTCTGGGGAACTTCTTCCTTCCACCTTTTGTGAGGGAATTTCTTAGAATACACCTTGTATCCTAGTTCCTCTGGTGGTGTTGATCGTTTGCTCTAGGTTTAAATCCATATATGAGCGAGTACTTACCATGTTTCTTTTTTTGTGAATGGGTTACCTCATTCAGGATGGTTTCTTCAAGTGCCATCCACTTGCCTGTGAATTGCAAGATTCCATTATTTTTTTCTGCAGAGTAGTATTCCATTATGTAGATGTGCCACATCTTCTTTATCCATTCTTCAGTTGAGGGGCACCTAGGTTGCTTCCAGGTTCTTGCTATTACAAATAATGCTGCTATGAGCATAACTGAGCAGATGTCTTTGTTGCATGGATGTGGATCCTTTGGGTATATGCCTAAGAGGGGGATTGCCAGGTACTGTGGTAAACTAATTCCCATTTTCCGGAGGAACCACCAAGTATTTCCAAAATGGCTGTACAAGTTTGCACTCCTACCAGCAGTGGAGGATTGTTTCCCTTTCTCCACATCCTCTCCAGTATAAGTTTTCATTGGTGTTTCTAATGTTAGCCATTCTGGCAGGAGTAAGATGGTATCTCAAAGTTGTTTTGATTTGTATTTCTCTGATCACTAAGGATCTTGATCACTTTCTTAAGTGTCTTTCAGCTTTTTTGATTTCCTCTATTGAGAATTCTTTCTTCAATTCTGTACCCCATTTTTAATAGGGTTATAATAATAGTTCTTATCATCAGATCTGAGTTCAAGTGACATCTTACTCTTAATTTCAATTAATCAGAAAACTTACCTTCTTCCCACCTATAAATACTCCAATAAGCTCACATAAATATTTACAAATGAAGCTCCCTCCCCCCACAGACACAAAGCACACACACACACACACACACACACACACACACACACACACACGAGACAGAGAGAGACAGAGAGAGAGAGAAAAAAAGAGAGAGAGAAAAGAGAGAGAGAAATATGCTCAGTTGAGAGGAAATGCCAATCAAAACTAGGTATGTGGATTTAAGGATCTTGAATGTCAGCTAAAAGATAAGATCAACATCTTTACTTGTATCTTTTCACATAAGACTTGAAACAAGAACTCACCCCTGAATCTCAGGGGAAGTAATTTCTGTCCTGCTCCCAGTGTTTGACATTTGCCAAAGTGATTGATGTGGCTGCAGTCTCAGGACTGGTGGGGGAAAGGTCATATACTGAATCTAAAAGAAGTGAGTCAGAGTAGAGCACAGAGAGGTTAGGGTTTAAGGAAAAAGCACAACAAACACTTTCTAATCAAAGTGCAGAGTTATGGCCACTGAGGTGAAAATGACTCAGGGACACACACAGTTTCCTCAGGACCAAATCTTAAGGCATGAAAGGTGTCTGGCAAGATCTCTAATAAAAAATATCGTAATGGTTTCAGAAAAGTAGTAGTAGAGCCCTAATACTTAATACTCACCTATATGTTATGATTCCTCAGAGACAGACAGAGAGAGATGGAGAAATTTGTGTTGGACCTGAACTAACCTGTAGGGACCTGGTGTGATGCTCGTAGGAGATGGTGGGAACTTTAAGGGTGGACTATGGCAAGTGTGGTTGTTTTTTAGTGACATGTCCTTAATATTGATCATGAGGTATTCTCTACCCCTCATTTTCTTTTGCGTCTTGATTATTTATCATGTAATGCTCTACCATGTTGAGATGCCATGGGACAAAAACACAGATGCTTAGGCCTGCAGGGACCCTCTAAAACAGCCTAGGTAAACTTGGTCTCCTCATAAGCCTCATGGAAAGGCAATTATCACAATACTCAAAAAGCTTTCAGTTTTGATAATTTCCTATTTTCCTCTACTCCCATGTCACAGAAATGTCACACCTTTAGGTGATTCTTCTATTTAAGTGTAGATTCACCTTTTCAATGTTTCCTTCCTCAGGGCCATTTGCAGGCTTTATTGTTGAGTCCCATCTGATTTTAACTCATATCCATCTCATGTGTGGACACTGTATCATATGCATCGGTGATTGGACGGGACAGACATTTACATTAAAATCAAGCATACTGAAGAGAAAAATGTAGCTTTAGAAACTTCATATGTAATAGGAAGTATTTTCTTCAGTCCTTCAGATTTACATATCAACAGAGAAGGGAGACTCCTCCTCACTCTAAGGTTAATATTCCTTTGGAAAATAGAAAACTGTGACATTTGCTAAGGTGATTCTGCTTCAGTTATTTTCCAAAAGCTATCAATGAATTGCTTGCTCTTTGTGAGGTCATTGTTTTTCATTATGTTTATTATAGTTTGCTGTGTCTTCCCTTTATGATCTATTTAAAACTTTTTTATTTAAAAATGTTATTTTTCATTTTACATACCAACTCCAGTTCCCCCTGCCTCTCCTTATCTTGCCCCTCTCCTCCCCTTATCACACTCCCATCCACTCATCATAGAGGATAATGCCTTCTTTGGGGAGTCAATAAATTCTGGCATACCAAGTTGAGGCAGGAACAAATCCCCCTCTCCCCTCTACCCCACCCTGTATCAAGGCTGAGCAAGATACCCTACCATAGGGAATGGGTTCCAAAAAGCCAGTTCACGTCCCTGGAAATGGTCCTAGTGCCAGTGCCAGGGGCTCCCCTGAAGGATCAAGTCACATAACTGTCACCCATATTCAGAGGGTCTAGTCTGGTTCTATGCAGGATCCCCAGTTGTCAAGCCATAGTCCATTAACTCCCACTAGCTTGGGTCAGCTGTCTCTGTGGTTCTCTCCATCATGGCATTGATCCCCTTTGTTCAGGAAGGGAAAATAATTAAGGTTTCCTGGGTAAACTTGGAGAAGGGCTAGCAGGGAGGGAATGAAGCAATGAAAGAGGTACTTTGACAGAGGAAGCCATTATAGGGTTAGGAATAAATTCTCAGGAATCCACAAGAATTACCTTGCTAATAGTAAATGGAGAAGGTTCCAGAATGGGCCTTCCCCTTTAATTAGATTAGGAACTAACATGATCATCATCATAGACCCTACATCCAGTAATTGATGGAAGCAGATGGAGATCCATAGCCAATCACTGGGCTGAGCTCCTGGACTTCACCTGCAGATTGGGAGAAGGGATCATGTGAGGTCATCTTTAAATCATCTTTCTGCAGTCAGAATTTTCCTTAAACATAATTAGGTTTCCAATTACTATGTGTGTAAACAAACCTTTTCCTTCTATCACTCAGGGTGGTTTATTTGTGTGGATGTACTGGGTCTCTTCTAGTGTTTAAATTTTGTTTTACATTGACGGTTGTAATTTATTTATTCAGTCACGACTATAAAAAGTTTAATATTTTCCTAGTCTCTATTTTCACTGGGCATTAATGGACTGATGGAGTATAATGGCTCCTGGGATTTTGGATCAGAAACTGAGAAGTGGTAAAAAGTAAGGCAAATTAACTTATTGTCCAGAGACATCCTGTCAGCCATGCCCAGCACCACAGAACTGAAAGAAAATTTTATTGCCTTTACAACTTCATTGTATGTTTGTACTGTGTGTGTGTGTGTGTGTGTGCATGTGTGCACATGTGTGCACATGTGTGTGAATATTTTAACATGTATCATAGATATAGAAGAATATCAAATGATAACTTGCTGAAGTTGGTTATCTCCTTCTACCCTGTGGGTTCTTAGGATTATACTTTGGTCACCAGGCTTGACTCCACTTGCCTTTACCCATTGAGAAACCTTGCCAGCCTAATAATAGCCTCTTTTCTAATGTAAGTACACAGACACCCACACATAATACAATACAGATCTTCTGAAAACCTGGGTCTCTTCACAGATGTTAGTGCTTTCTTCCCCCAGTTCACCTGTTCCATTTGGCATCTAATACAATAATAATAGTAAGCAGCTTTGCCTTTCCATTGAAGACGAAGGACAGAAATTAGGTTTTTAGTGTTCCTAAATGTAGGAGAGATTGGAAGCATTTCTGTTTTTGTCATTACAGGATGTGTGCCTTTCGCCAAGGCCATCTGCTTCCTTAAGTCACTATGCCATCCTTCAACCAGAGCACTGCCCACCCAATAGTCTTCTTCCTCACTGGCATTCCTGGTCTTGAGACCTCTCAAGTCTGGATTTCCATCCCTTTCTGCTGTCTATATGCCATCGCCATCTCTGGGAACAGCATGATCCTCTTTGTCATCATCACTGAGTCAAGCCTCCATGAACCCATGTACTATTTCCTGTCCATGCTGTCCTTCACAGACTTGGGTCTGTGCTTCTCCACGGTGGTAACTGTGTTGGGCATCTTCTGGTTCAATGTTCGAGAGATTAGCTTTGATGCCTGCATTGGCCAAATGTTCTTTATCCATGGCTTTACATTTATGGAGTCTTCGGTCCTCCTAGTGATGGCCTTTGACCGCTTTATTGCCATCTGTAACCTACTGAGGTATGCTATGATCTTAACCAATTCACGGATCATTGCAGTGGGCTTTGAAATTGTAATTAGGGGGGCCACAGCTCTTGTTCCTTTACTCCTGCTCCTCAAGCGTCTGTCTATTTGTCGTAATCATGTGCTCCATAATTCCTATTGCTTCCATCCTGATGTGATGAAGCTCTCATGCTCAGACACCAAGATCAATAGTGCCTTTGGTCTGGCCACTGTCATCTCTACTGCGGGCTTAGACTCTGTTCTGATCCTTCTCTCTTATGTTCTGATCATCCACTCTGTGCTATGCATTGCATCCAAGGTGGACTGGAAAAAGGCATTTGGCACCTGTGTCTCCCATCTCAGTGCTGTTGCCATCTTCTACATCCCTATGATCAGCTTGTCATTGATGCACAGTTTTGCAAAACTTGCTCCTCCATTTGTGCACACTTTAATTGTCAATGTTTATCTGCTCATTCCTCTTGTAATAATTCCTATAATCTATAGCACGATTACCAAACAATTCACAAGGTCATGCTTAAAGCATTCTTCATTAAACAACTGTATGGAAGTTTTAGAGTTCTTTCTTTAAAGCGAATCCTGCATATCTGTGTTTGATTATTCACTTGTATAATTTAATACTGTAGCTTAGCTTGAAGATTCTGCTAATAAATACACTTTTTAAAAATTCTTATGGTCATGTAATTTCCTCCATAAAATATTTTAGACTATGGATTCCTTAATGACAGAGATATCATGCTGTATTATTTTCCTATTGTTACTGCTCTATGTGGCACAATATTGTTAAAGTGTGTTTTTGTCTATTGATAAATTGATTTTCATTCTCTAGATTAAGTAACTTTAATGGCTTACCTAGTACAGGTTCTAAGGAATATATATTTGAATAATATCATTTACATAATACTTTCAAACTATTATTATTGCCAATCAAAAACATTCATAATTAAATAAAATGAAATGGTGGAGTCACTAACGTGCTTGAAATGAATACTTTTCTAGTTCTTTAAATAAGCCTTGCGATCTCTTTGTTAAATGAATTATTTCAACCTTATAAAGTATATTGAAGCATTGTTTAAAATGGGTAGGGAACCTTCCTCTGATTTGACCATCTCACAATGTAGTCATAGATTGAAACTGGTATGACATTAATTATATAACTATTTCAGCTTAATATTAAATTTAAAAACAATATGTAAGAGTTGAAAATGCCAATCTAATTTTATCATCATTCACTGAGTACATAAACTGAATTATCATCCTGTACCCCACAATACCTTAATTAAAATGATCAAAGAAAACTAAGTATTGTGATAGAACTCATATTTTGACATTCATTTCCTCATTGGGCTGTAGATTCTGTGGGAGAAACAATATTCTGTTTTCTGTATTACTCTAGTAAAAACTTTGGAATATGTTAAATCCTTATAATGCTTTTTGAAAGAATTAATAAAGATTATTTGGTTGTGTATGGGCCAGTAATTATGACATCTTTGTGAAGTTTACAGAATCATTAACTCACAGCAGTTAATTTTCCTTGCACAAGTCCTACACAATGTGAGGGCCCTCAACATTCCAGCATAGATGGAGGCACTTTTACAAATGTACATTTATAGGAAGATTCTCACACATGGAAACTAAAAGGGTGTGCAGTGAAGTGGAGGGGAAGGAAACTATGAAGTAGAATGGGCCCATGGGGAGTCTCATCCTCTGGGGTCCATATCATCTTCATCTGGGGTTTCTAATGAAGATATTTCAGAAAGCCCGAGACAGATCTTTCCCCATATATTCTGTGGCCTTGGGCAGAAGAACTCAGCTTCCCAGCCCTCGCCTCCACAAAAGAATGAAAGAACAACCTTTATGATTGTAAGAAAAGCTGTTGCATTGGGGAAAATTATTTACTTTATCCCTGTTGTTTTGCCTCAGAATTAAAAGACTCTATTAACTTCAGGGAGGTCTTCTTGATTCCCAAGAAAACTTGTGAAAATCAGACAATTGTAACTTTGGGCCATCTATTCTAAGTGAGTGTAGTTGTGATTTATTACAATTACAAGTGTCTTGCTGCATAGAGGTTCTAGCACTCTTACAATTCTGAGTTTTCTGGGTAGTTTTTGAACACTCAGAACTGCCATCTAAAGTCAGCTGCCACTCCTGCCCTATATGCACTTCTTCCATCATTGTTGTCTTTATTGCCATTATCATACATCTCCTGTATTCTGTTTGCTTGCTATCACATTCTTTACAAATGCTGTCATTTTAACCCACACATACTATTGCTGACCTACCAAACTCCATAAAAGTGGAATGCTATGTACTCATTGGGAGAGCTCAGTCTAGATGATGACAGAGGTTTCATGGGACCTAGAATTGCCCAGAATTCTAACAATTTTGGTGAATCATTAGTCTAAGAGGAGACAACTTGAGGCAGTTCAGTATAAAACATTTAATGCTGTATTATAGTTTACATGGGATATCATCATCTTAATGCAAGTAATCAGTGTCAGCATTTGAGCAAAGAGGATATGATTATGTAGTAACAAACTAGGGTCAGCCACAAACAATTCCAAATCTCTCTCTCTCTCTCTCTTACACACTGGGTGGAGGGGAGTGTTGGAAACTATGAATGAGTTCTATGAATTATATTTAACATTTCTGGTATAGGATATGAGGACATATCTCAGTTGGAAGCATGTATAAAGCCCTGGTTTTGACCCACAACACAGAAAATATGAAGTGTGGTCGCAAAATGGGATGAAATGGAACATCCTTGCAATTCCAGTACTCTAGAATTGGAGGCACAAGGTTCAGAAATTCATGATTGTTCTTGGTTTCATGAAGAATTTGAGCCCTGCCTGAGACATATGACTGTCCCAATTTGAGGGTGGCACTTGAGGAGATATCTCAGTGTATAAGAGATGTAGCTATGCATGCATGTTAACTCAAGTTTGGACCTCTAGTACTCATGTCAAAAGCCAACACTATGGAGGACAGATATTGTGATTGCCGATCTTTGCTAGCTGCCAGCATTGCACCAGGTATAGTACAAAACCTTGTGGGAAAAGAGTAAGATAAAGGGTGATAGAGGATACGCCAGAACTTCTCTACTCTCATGTGGATGTGCATGTACTCCCACAATCATGTGAATACTTTAATACCTACATACACAGACACACAGACACATAGGCACACACACACAACCCTCAACTTAATTTTCCAAGCAGTGAAACCTGAATAAGAATTTACGAAGTATAGGAGAGTAGAAGTCTTGAAGTTCTTATAGTGAGGTCATTGGCTAAGTTCAGAGTCATTGGTCAGTTACTTTCATTTCCTATAATATCATGGAAGTTATTAACGAATTATGATGACAGTATGGAGAGATGGCTCAAGTTTAAGTGGACATGAAAATGTTACTAAGAGCCCAAGTTTAGTTTACTGCATCCATGGTGAGGGGCCCACAATATTCTGTAACTCCAAATGCAGGGGAATCCAATGGCTGTGGTCCTGGTGGCACTCGCACTTGCATGCACACAGTTCCACCCCTACATACTTATACATACCACATAATTAAAAATAAGGTGCAACCTTTGAAAAGAACATGATGGTTAATAAGCAAGTGTCCACCTATCACCACCTTATTTACAGAGTTATATTTTCAGATAACATGATTAAGCAATAGAATAACCACTAGTCTGTCTGCATGAATTTAAAAAACACAAATAACTCTAGAGGAAGATGTGTTTTCTTACGAATCATCCTAGTGAAGGTGATATCATTGAGTGTTTCCATAAATAGAAATTTATGTTGGATTCATAGTAACTATGGATCAGATAGAGAGTCTAAAGAGTTTAGCATCTTTCAGAAAAGAGAGCTGCATCATCCTCATCAGTGGGAAGGATCTTGCTACATTGTGTGGTTGGTCAAGTAAGGTTGAGTTTGTCAGGGTTTTCAAAAAAAAAAAAATAGGTACTAGTCATTTTGGGAAAACTGTTGCTTATTTTTAGTGCTAAGATACTGAATTTGACTTCATGTTAGAGCCAGTGAAGAATGCTGGAGAAGCAAGAGTATGCAGATGTGTTTTGCAGAGCCCCTCGTGACATAAATGGGGAGAAATTCTGGAAACTAAGGAACAAGGAAAAGAAACTACTTTCAGCAGGGGAATCAGGGGCCAACCCAGGGAATTCCTGGGGAAGGGTGTAGGGGAGAGTCCACCCGAATTGGTCCCAGACTCACCTCTAGCGAAGGCCTGGTGATGGGGGATAAAGGCTTGGCTGATACTCAGGTTGTTTCTGCACCCATCAGCAGATCTCACTGAGACCTGTCACTCTCCCGCTGAGGCCTCTTTAGCAGAGGCCCTGTGAAGGGCGTCAAAGATCCTGCTGGCAGGAACTCAGAATGATCCCACCTGTAGAGTTTTAAATATGTCTCTGTTCCCTAAAATGTCGTCATGATAGTAGTGACATTTCATCATTAGAATGAAAGACTTCAAAAACATGTATAATCATGTCTCACTCAAGGTTTCCAATGTGGATTATTCCTTTTTTTTTAAAATAAAAAAGGTATCTGTATTTATCATTTATTTTTTATTAAAATGTTTGTTACCATGGATGGTATTCTGCTACCTACTGTTAGCAGTTTAACAATCAAGACACTTTTTTTTCATCTATGTAATTTATATTCTCATGTGACCCTGGGTGATTTGTATACATACATACCAATGCTCATATTCATATAAAGATGAACAGATAAAAGCAAAACATTAAGAAAGGCAGATGATGAAAATGCAGTTTTGAATGTCACTATGAAATAGTTAATGAAGATATTTAGAAATGATTCATAAAACTTCAAGATGGAATGTGGTGAAAGATAGTCATGAAGTGGATAGTGAAGTTCACCAACAGGAAAGGTACAAAAATCTAGAGAAATAGAGAGTCTAATTTTCTTATACTCTTGTGACTCTATGGCAGGCATTAAAATTAAGAGAAAATTGAAACAGATTATAGAAGTTATAGCTTACTTGGTTTTTATATATGAAATAAACTCAAGAGATATGTTTACTTCTCTTTTAAAATTTCTTTCCAGTTGAGTACTTTAAAAATTAATTAAAAACTTCTGCTATTGATGCTTGCTAGGAAATGGAAAGTCAGTTTTTGACAATAGAGTGCCACTGGGTATATTAACTACATTCCTCTTTTACATAGGTCTCTGAAACCTGAGGGGAGGGTTTTGAAAAAGACATTCCACTTAGGACTAACTGTTCCAAAGTCTCCTAACCTCTGACACTATTCAGTTGTGAGTCTCTGTTTTATTACCCTTTATGGCATCTGGGAATCTTCTCTTACTTTGGCTGAGTGACACACTGATCTATGAGAACAGCAGAACATCGCTGAGTCATTTTATTGCTATGTTCATTTTGCACAGTGGTTCTCAACCATCCTGATGCCGTGACCCTTTAGTACATTTCCTCATGTTGCGATGACCCCCAACCACAAAGTTTTTTTGGTGCTACTCTATAACTGTAATTTTGCTACTGTTATGAATCCTAATGTAGATGTATGATATGACAGATATCTGATATGCAACCCCTATGAAAGGAGTAAAAA